TTCTCACTGTTATGTGTGTTTGTGTCCATCTTTCCCTTCTTTATAAGGACACCCATCACACTGGATCAGGTCTGATGCTAATAATCTCATTTTAACTTGATCACCTCCGTAAAGACCCTCTCTCCAAATAAGGTCACATTCTGAGGTACTGGGGTTGGGATGCCAGCAAAGCTTTTCGGGACAACATAATTCAACCTGGAACAGAGGTCAGGAAGGGTATGAGAAGCTCAGGAAGCCTTGTGGGAGGAGGTTGAATGCAGCAGACCCGGAAAGGCCTTGGGATTTGTTGAGTGCTCTTTGCCCCCTCCTTGACAGCAACAGCGGGTCCATGTGGCACAATGATTATTAACAGCCACATGGGCAGTTTGGTCCTGCTGTAAAAAGTGAACCTACAGTTCAAAACTAACTTAGAACAGAAATTGGTGCTTTTTGCAAAAGCATCTTCAGAAAGAGCTTTTCTGTGAAAAAGAGGAAGAAAGTGTTAAAGGCCCATGCATACAAATTAAATGGGTCAGCTTAATATCAATGCCTGTGTTTTCATTTGCGTACTTGTCTTTGGTGAAAGAGCAACAGGAAAGAAAGATGAGGCACCCTTGCTGGAAAATTATATTTGGCCTTTCTAGTTCTGACCTAAATTATAGGTCTTGACTTGAAAAATACCTTTAAATAAGTTTTTGAGTTGTAACGATTAAATCTTAACTGAATATGTTAACAGGCTGTGATCTTTTCTTTAAGGCTGCTTTTAGCTTTTAAGAAAATAAAGTTTACATCAGACTGCTGTGTCATTTCTTTTTATCTTAAACTCAGGGTGTCCTAGCTGGGTGACCTGGAAAAGATGCTAACAGGAAGCTTTAAAAAGCTGGCTTTTTAAATTATTTGATCCTTGTGTCAGTATCACATTATATTGAATATAATGCCTTATAAAAATATGCATAATGGAAGCAGTAGTTACTTAAATGATTGCATTAATTTGTAGCCAAAGATCATGTGTGAAATTGCTATATAATCTTCAAAAAAATTCATATGTTCCATTCAGAGAAATTGAGAAAATTTTCCAGTGCCTCTAGAATTCAGAATTAGCCAGATAGTATTTTCCTTTTCAAATGGAAAAAATTAGTTCAGAGAAATTTACTGAGCTTTGTCACCTTCCTCTGCATGAATTTGGATTTTAATTTTTTTTTTCCTTTTTGAAGGGAAAGGAGAAGTAATTTATAGATGGGGAGGATAGGGAAGACATATGTGGGAGATTTCTGGTAACAGGACAGATAAATTTGATTTTTTCTTCCCTCTAAAAAAGCTATGTAGAGATTTTTAAAAAATGGCTGCATGCAAGTTACTAGTGAAACTGCAAACAAATGTGTGCCAAATCCTCTGAAATCTATTGGTGCCGGTCCTTTCTAAGTGTTCCGTCTTGCCAGCAGCTAAGCATGTGTACTTCTGTCCTGCGCTCGGTGGAGGGGCCCCCGCAGTACCGCAGTCCTTGAGCTGGAGCTGGTACTGATGAAAGGTTTTATTCTGACCAGAAGAGGAGCCCATAACTCTCTGCACTCTCTCAGTTGGCAGCGCAGGTTTCGAATAAATGTTGCCTTGGTGCTTTGTCCTTTGCTCACCAATACTGCAGTCACAGTTTTAGGACACAGCTGTCAGGAGGCAGGAACTGTGCTTTACTCACTTTGGTGTTCCCAGAACCCCAAAATGTGCCCGGATTTGGTTAACTGTTGTTGAATAACTTGTTTGTTGAATGTCCGAGCAATGAAGGAACAAAAGCCCCACACAGTGATCCATAAGTTAAAGGAAAAAGTTCAGAAGGCAAGAGGTTGAAACCAGATTTGAGGCAGTGTGAAGCATGGCACACAGTTCCTGTCCCCAGAAGAGCAAAATCCAGAATACTAGGGAGAGAAGCACTTGTCACATTACGTCACATTTGATAATAAAGGCATCTCCACAGGATACAGGAGCAGTGGTTTGCTCTTCACATTGCTAAGGGAGTAGGTAAGCACTTGAGCTGATCTTTGAAGGACAGGCATATTTTTAGGAGCATGTAGGGGTAGGATGAAGGGGGAAGGAAGGTTTTCTAGGAGGAGGGATTAACATTTGGAGAGGCACAGAGGTGAGCAGAACTATGAACATCTCCTGTATGGATAGTCCAGAAAAATCTTTCCTTTTTATTTATCAGACTTAAGCAGGAAAGGTTAAACATACACAGATTGTGGTTTTTAGATTTATTTTACTTCTGGATAGCCTCAGTTGTCCCATGTATTGACCTGTTGTGGTAAGTTAAAAGTTCCAGCTCCCAACATGGGGATGATTCTGAAATCTAGCCAAGCATCAGGCCACTTAGGGGAACCATTTGAAAATACAGATTTCTAGCACATTTGGCTCAGAAATTTTAACTTAGGAAGTCTGGGGAAGAGCTTAAGAGGATGACTCTTTAAATTTCTCCTGAAGGCTTTATGCTGCTTCAGCCAGTTTTGTGCAAGAGCTCAGTGACTTGGTTGGAAATGCTCCCCAGTGAGGGTTCTGTGGAGAGCTGGTGGCACGCTCTCTTTCCCTGGCCTCAGGTGCTCCAGGGCCCAGGAAAGCTGTAAGCTGGGTCTCTTGCTTGCTGCCATTCACATACAGGTGGAAGCAAGTTAAATTTTGCATCAGAGTGGCCTTGAGAGAAGAAACTGATGCAGGAAAAACACTACAGCTGAGGAGACTATGGACTGCAGCTGTATCCCACCACTTCCTTGGATGGAGGGGGTGAGGGGGAGGTGTGCCGAACGAAACTGGTCTCAGTTTTTGGCTTTGGAACCACTTCTCATTCAAAAATTACTCTGGATCCAAAGAGCGTTTGTGTGTCTATTAATATTTATTGTATTAGAAATTAAAATAAATATTACCAGTATTTACTAATACCTTTAAAATTCTCATTAGATATTAACCAGAAATAACACTTTTATGAATAATGAATGAATATAAGAATATTTTTCAAAATAAATAGAAGAATGACATTGTTTACATTTTTGAAAATTTATTGTCTGAATAAATCGAAGACTTTGTTACAATATCGCATGTTATATAGCTTCTGAAAAACTGCATTGTATACCCCTGAGACAAGGAGAGCAAGAACAAGTAGTGCCTTACTATTATTATGAAAACAGTTTTGATTTTGCAGATCCCCCAAATAGTCTTGGGGTCCCCTGGAGGATATGGTATCTCTTAAGGCCACCCAGCAGAGCACCCACTACCTGCCAACATGTGTGCATGCGTACTCACACACCCACATGCACACGAGCTTCCTATGAATTAGTTACTGCCAAGGCTCCTCAAGTTACAGACTCTGAGGTGATCACTACCATATTTCATTCTGTGAATTACTCTATTTGGAGCAGATTTTAAATGAACATAAAAGAAGACAGCTAAGTATCTGTTGAATGAATAAATACTAAATATTTATGCATATGTACCTCAGTATGTTAATAAAATGGTAAGATTAGACATCAGGCACCTCAGTGGCTCAGTCAGTTAAGCATCTGCCTTTGGCTCGGGTCATGATCTCGGGGTTCTGGGATCCATCCCCACATCAGGCTCCCTGCTCATTGGGGAGTCTGCTTTTCCCTCTCCCTCTGCCATTCCCCCTGTTTGTGCGCTCTCTCTCTCTCTCTAATAAATAAAGTCTTTAATAAAAGATCAGACATTCTTGCAGCCCACCGTTTAGAATCTGTGATTATTTCCAAGTAAATTAATATTTGGAAGCTAATATTCCCAATTAAAGGTAGCACTGGATTGCGGTTAAGATAGGAAGTTCCGAATCCAGAAATCTTTGTCTGAATCCCTGCCCCATTACTTACAGGGATCATGGGCAAGTGATTAAACACCTTGGAGTCTCAGTTCCCTCAGCTGTAAAATGAGAATAATAGTAGTAAAGGTCCACAGTCCCTTATATTCATTTCTAAAATCCAAACTGAATTTTGACATTTTATTTTGAAATGGAAATTTTATTTGTAACTCATTGAACCCCAAAGGCTGACCTGAACCCATTTGGTTGCAAAAGCTGACCTGAACAAACCCCCATCTTTCTTCATTTATTCTGCCTGATAGGACTCGTTGTATATTTTGCTGCAGAAATTTAGTGTTTGATTATGTTGTACTGCCCTAGGCCTTGGTCTGTATATTATGGAATTGTCATAATAAATTGTATATGGATAAAGGATTGAGAATAGGTATTACCTGGTCAAGTTTAAATGGGCGAATGTATACATACAATGTCTAGAACACTGCCGAGTACATGGTAGCATATTCGGTTTTGTTAAATAGGTAGTATTTCCAGATAAACAAAGAAACCACTGAATAGAAGAGAAAGCACTTTTTATTTTACTAACATTTCCATGTGAATGAAAGGTGGAGTTTTGCTTTATTTTTCCCCTCTTGATTTGGGCCCTAGGAAAATAAAACAGGCAAGGTGCTGTTTTTCTGCTTTGTATCAGAGAAAATAGTAACACTGGCTGACCTTCATCCAGCATCCCATGGGAGGGCATAGTCCCAAATGGGTCCTGGATGGAGGGCACTGCTTTGCCTCACCAGGTTCTTGTCTCCATCCATACAAGGCACAGCCTGTGGTGCTTGAACAAATCCTCTGGTCAGAGAGCTTTCATGCGGCCAATGAAAATGGTTTATGATAGCACGATCCTAACTAGCTAGCTGGTGAAGGATACTATAACAAGGAGATCTGACCTCCGGGGCCACCCCTGGAGTGGACTCCTTCATCACTCCTCTTCCAAGAAATGCAAAGTGACCACCTGGAGAGTGAGATTTTGAATGGATTGGACACTTCAGATGCTCACCAGGTGTACATCAGGGTGTAGGAGAAAATTAACGTACACCCACCGGGCATGGCACTTTGATCTGAAAGGGTCGACGGTGTGTTGCAGACCGACCCTGGCAGGTAGTCTCTGTCCTTGTCTGAGCCGGGCAGCGCAGGCTGACTGCCCTCCTGTCTTCTGTCACATTTGCAGTTCCCCAGGCAAGGCTTGCAGCAGACCCAGCAGCAGCAACAGACGGCGGCCCTGGTACGGCAGCTCCAGAAGCAGCTTTCTAGTAAGTACCCCCGCATTACAGAACAGATGGCTACCAGGAGATTCAAGACAAGAAAGCAGAACACACGTGCTGGCTCCTCAGACAGTGCCCTGTCTTCCTTCAGTACCATTTACATCCTCATTTGAGTCCAGGCTGGTTTGGTTTGGGTTTGGGTTTGGGTTTGGTTTAAATGCTCCCTCCCCTCTCCCCTCGCTGCTGGAAAGTCCCAGGGTTTTTTTGTTTTTTGGTTTTGGGTTTTTGTTTTTTTTGTTGTTGTTGTTTTATTTTTTGAGTTCAGTGAAGATGTTTTCCTCTTGCTTCCATCTGAACCTGGAAATGTTTCTTTTCATTTGGGAGACCCACGTGGAAGTGCAGGTACCCTTTTTATGCAAGCTGGAAGGTTCAGAGATCAACTCGGCTGATGCCCTCAAGTGTGCTGATGAAGGAGCTGGCTTCCCAAAGCCACCTGTAGAGGAAGGCCAGCCCTAGACCTGTCTCCTGGTCACTGGGGCGGTGACTGTTCTTGCCACTGCACCATCCTGTCCTTCTGATAACAGTGCAGAGAACTCACAGCCTGCTAACGCCGCAAGCAGCAGAGCAGGGCAGTTTGTCCCAGTAATTGGGCCTGCTATGCTGGTGTGATTTTTTTTTTCTTTAATTGTGCTCTCTCTCTAAAGCGATGCCAACAGCCCATCTCACCACACCTCTTCTAGAAGCCGGCAGTGTGCTCTCATGAAACGAATTCCCCCTGTGCTGCTTGACGTCACAGGAGATATTTTTAGAAATGCGAACCAGCCCCCTGTGATGCAAAGAATATTGGCCTGGGAGTTAGGAAGTCTGAATCCCGGTGCCAGCCCTACTATCATTTTCTGGACCATGTACTTTTTCGTCCATGCAGCAAGGAGACTAGTGGGACCGGCAGTTTCTCCTGGGTCTCTGGTTGTGTGCTTTGGAGGTATGGAGTGAAGGCCACCTAGTCCTAAAGTCAGCTGTGCAACTCTGGTAGGATACTGTTAGGAGGAGGGTCAGTTAGGACCAAGGGGCAACTTGGGTTTGGTCTTAATTTTCCACCTGGCGGCTGTGCCTGTTGATTTCCTCGCAGAGGAAATGCCCCTCGTGTACCTTGCGTCTCTACTAGGGCATAACCAAGGTCTTTTTTCTTTTCTTTTTTTTTTTTAAATATTTCCCTCTTTTAGCCTCATTTAATTTGTTAAATCATTTAAATTGGTCTTGTTTTCTAACTACTGCTTAACAGGGGTGGTCTATTATATGTGTGGTTAATATTTCATTGCTTTATTCGAGAGTTCATACTTTCACATGGTTAAAGAGAATATAATTTTAAGGCAGAGACAACATGCTTATATTTTAGATGTTTTTCTAGTGTTTAGAAATAAGTACCTATGATTTTATGCAGTGGCACTTTTTGGGAGTGTACCTACTCTCTTTCCTGTTTCCCAGAGCTCATGATATGCAGTTTTTTTAATCTGTCATTTATGGAGCACTTTCTTGGACCCAGGCACTGTAACTCTACATAGATTAATGCACTTAATTCCTAAACTGCCCCATGAGTGAAGGTATTACTATTCCCATACTATAGATGAGGAAATAGCTAAAGAAAAGGGAGATTGATTGACTCATTTGTCCAAGGTTATTCAGCTAAAAGTACGGGGCAGAGCTGGGACTCTTGAATTCAGATGGTCCCCTTCCAGAAACTACCTCTTAACCACAATATACTCTGCTCCCTGATATTAGCAGTTATGCCAGCCTCCTTTGTTGAGTGATGGCCAAGTTGAGCTGTCTCACTGTACAACTCTAGAGGGCTCCTTCTGTATCATAACCCATGTGGATGGAGCCTCTGGATTTGAATAGTCCCACCAGAGTTGGGGAAGCAGTAGTTATTTCTAAGTCCCTGTCATTTTTTTGTGCCTACTATTCTTTAGGTTTTGTGTGTGTGTGTGTGTGTGTGTGTGTGTGTGGTGTGCTTGCACACATGTACATATATGTATAGGCAGACACCTGAGTCAACACACATAGCCACCGTCGCACGTGTAGACACCGTTACACACTTCTCTCTTACATATCTTATATGGCCATTTGTAGAAAATTACCCTGTTTCATGCCACTTCTCTCACTTTACTATAATGTCCGTGTTAAAATAAAATCTCTGATCTGTTCTTATAAAAGTTTGGGGAACTTTAAATATTTTACAGTACTTCGAGTCCTTTTGTATGTTAGTATTGAGTTGTTCCTTAGTTTAGACTCAGAGACTTCAGAGGGGCTGGTTACTGTCCGAAGGCTGTGCCGGCCGGTGTAGGACTCTGCTGTAGAGCCAGTGCCCCTGTGGAATGCATGTAGTTAGGGTATTCAGACCTTACTGCTCAGGTCCCTGGGCTAGCATGCACTCCTTGGCCGGTTTGTCTGTCCTCCTGTTCTTGAGACTGGTACGGAGAACCGTGGCAAGAGAGTAGCATCTATCTGTGGCATAATTTTGCATCTGCGATTTTATTTGAATTTATTTTTCCCATTAGGTAACCAGCCACAGCAAGGAGTGACTCCCTATGGGCATCCATCACACTTCTGAATCTGGAAGAGGACGAGACATAAAGTTTTGTGTTTGCACTGAAAAATAGAAAATCAAATTTAATGCATCAGTCTTTAGAAATGTCCCTTTGTTCTTTCCTTTCTTTGAAGTTTTCTTATTTTGTGCTACATTTCATATAGAGGTATTTAAAACAAAAGAAAAGGAGGAAGTGTGGTTTGGGGTTTTTTGGTTAAATTCAACTTTAAAGTAGGTATAAAAATGTGGATCATGTGGGCCTACTCCAGGAAGAGCGTGGTAGCAGATCTTTTGAAATTGGTGCTTTTTTTTGGATCTCATAGAAAGAATGAATTATGGTGGATTTAAAATATTTATGTGTTCATTAATGATGAAGTTTGTTGTTTTCTTCTCCCCACCGCCCCCCCAAACTGTGCTGGACCAAACTACTGATTTGAAGGCATGTCGGGTCTTGACAGGAGAGTAATCCATTTATTCTTCTTTCACCTTTGATGGTGAAATGGACATCTATTTGCATTGCTCTGATTTGAAATGTTTGTAATTTCATAAGCACTTTATAAACTTTATTCTTATTTATGTAGGATTTTTCTTTGCTTTTGTTGTGGTCAAAAGGTGCTGAAACAGATTGTTGCTTAGTACTTAAACTTCTTAGACCAAGAACTTCATCCCAGGCTTCTGAGAGAGCCGCCCTCAGATACACGGAAGCCTCGTAGAAGTGGTTGTACTCGAATTTGTTTTCAGTGGCAAGAGCATTGACCAGAGTCTTTGTGAAGGTACAAAATGTTAATTCTAAAGGCCCGAACAAACCACAGTGGAATTGTTCCAATTATTTATTGCCAGATTTGGCAAAAATGACTCTTGGTTCTCCTGAACCTTATGCCAACTTGAGAAAAAACAATCTTGGAGCTGGCCTGAGATTCCACAGTGCTCAAACTTGACGTGGTTTCCAGAGAATCTGGCCCCCGAGTCCAGAAGGCTCTGGTTTTCATAAAGATGTATTTGCTGTTTATTTTGTATGGTAAGTATTTGCTATTTTGAATTTAATTATTAATGTTGGTGTCAGTCTTGGTTGTGTATTGCATATACTGTATTTATAAATTGGTGCAAAAAGCACAAGTAAATTATACATCAAATTTATTATAAAGAAATAGTAACTATTTTAACTTTGTTCAAGTATGTGGTAATTTGCTCCTATTAGAGTAAAAAATACAGTAAATTATTATCAGTTTGTGTAACTTAAGAGTATTCCATATAATATTTTTTTAGATTTAGATGCATAAAATTTTGAATGTGAAAATTGCAGGGCATTTTAAAACACGTGGGGGATATTTTCCCATGTTTTGTGTTAATTCATTTTCTTTTGCCATATGATTTTACATGTAATGTAGTTGAGCATACTGTGAATAGATTTGTCTATAATGAGCAAACCATGTAGAACTACTTTTTTAAAATGTAGCTAGTACGACTGTAGATCATTTCTTTTGCAAATCATTATATAAATAATTTATATCTTCCTAGGTGAGTTACTCATTGCAAAGTTTGACTCATGCAAACGACCTCAAATACATGTCCGCTTACTTTTGCTGTGGCAGCATCCATGTGAACTGCTTTGTACACTGTGAAATAGTTCACTCCAGCCTGCTCATTTCATGTTTACTCTGGGCTGGAAAAGACTTTGCCAAAACATTCAAGACCATTCTTTTCATGAAATTATAACATACTCTATCTGCTTTCAGAAGACAGATCTTTACATTTCAGCTGGTTTTGTATATCAGGTTTCGGTTTTTTTTCCTTCTTGAGAATCTTACGTAGAATCCATGAAGTTATTTTTCTTCCAAGTAATCTATCCATATGATGATTGCCTTGGCAAAACCGAAATGTGAATGTTGTGCCTAGTGAGTGAGTCCTGTTCTGTCCTGATTTCCTTTGGAAGAATTATTGGGATCTAAAATGCCAGTTTTTAGTTTGAACCATATATTTTTATAGCTCAGTATTGCAAACAGCAGTCATATTGTTTCAAGAACGAGTGTGATAATTGCATAGCATTCATATGCACTTTATATTTTGCATAAGGTAGTGAAATTAATTTATTAATCATTTTGCACATGAAAGCTGTGGGGTATACTTTTTTTCTTGTTGTGTCCTTTTCTTTTCCGGTGACAAAGCCAAGTCATGGTAAGGCCCTATAGTTCAGATTCTATGGAAAGTTAAGGAAGAAACTAGCACTGGCTTACCCCTGTGCATTATAAAGAGAACGACTGGGATTTTTTAATCCAGTCTTAGCATATTTCCTTCCACTTAATCCCACATCCTAAGAGGTTTCTTTCTTAGCAAGTTCATTAATTTGCATTAAAATGATCATGAGCGAAAACCTATCCTTTGACAGAACCTGGTAATTTGCTTTGTAAGACAGGAAATTATCCTAGGAGAAGATGGAGACCTCCCTTTCCCTTAAAAATAAGACTTTAAAAATTGAATGTAATTGGGCATCAGAATCCCTTAAACATACCTGTTTACACTCTAGTCTCATTCCTGATAGCTTCTATTTGTCATTCTTATTTACTCCTTTTGGCCCGGCAGTGGAAGGAGATCACAGTGAGAATGAGTATCCTTTGACCTCTTGTGGCCACAGGGTACCAGCATCTGAGATAGCAACAGTCAGGTCACCTCTTAGGTGGAGCCAGCTGAAAGTTGATGTGATGAAAACACAATGAAGTAAGCTCCCCTGTGTCTCAAACCATCAGCAGAGGCTAACATAGTTCTTTTGTGTGCTGAGATATCCGAGTGAGACCTATGGCATTTTTTTTTCCCCACTTTAAATAACTGGCAAATATTTGAATGAATTCTGGATAAATTACACTGGAACATCCCAGCCTCTAAAATTAGAAAAGATGACTCATAATGTCCCCCAAATCAATTCACGTTGAATTACAAAAAGCAACATTTTGTGTAGGTTTGAACAAATTTTAAGTACAATGGAACTTCATTATATGTACTTATGTATTAGATCTAGATTTTCCTATTTTCCTCTTCCATAAAGGATTATCCCTTAATGAAATAAGTTCATAAAGCAATGGTTCATTCTCAGATATTTTCCTTATAAAGAGTTCCAAACCAAGGATGCCTGTGTTAGATTTTGAAGTGAAGTTTCATTGTATTTTTAATGAAGACTTTTTAATGAGTTTATTTCAATAACGAAGTAATCAACCCCCTTTTCACTTTTTATGATATGTAGGTGTTAAGTTGCTTTTTACATGTACTTTAAACGCAGTTATTAAAACATTTTTGTATTCCCCGTCAATGAAAATTTTCAGTGTACACAAAACATAATCCTGGTCAAAACCGTTCAGAGCTTATTTTCTCTAGGTTTTACTAAAATATTTCTAAGCCAGCCACAAAATATCTGCACATCAAAATTGTAAATTTACAATCAAGACTGCAAATTTAATCTTTCCCATGGTCTCTCTTCTCAGTGCCATGCTTGTAACATTGCTAGAAGGTGAACACTAGGCAACTGGTAGTGAAAGAACAAAGTGTATTCTTTAATGAAGAATTCAGATACATTAGCCATTTGTTCTTTTATGGTGGACAGTTTTACCTTAATGTTCATTGTTATTTGTTGGCAAAATAAAAGTGCCTTAAGTTAAAAGTTCGTTTGGAGATCAATTAACGAAATCACTATCAGTCATATTGCATTTATTTACAAGTCTTTTTTTATTTTGCATGTCCATTATAAATTTAATATTGTAAATGTACTCAAATTCATTTACATGCCTATGGCTGCCTTTGATTAAACTTCTTCCAAAAAATAAACTCTGTCCAGATGTTGACTTTGTTCAATTTTTATTTCATGTCAGATGACCTGAACATACGTTGTTGCATAATCACTACCAAGTGGATTCCTCGCTGTGCATTTGTAGATCCCAGAATCTGAGGTTTGGGGATTCTGAATGATGAGGGTACCTTGGGGGTGAAAAGGCTCAAGTCCATGAGTCCCCCCTTTATTTGCCATTGAGAGCAAGGAGTTGTCCGGCCGCTCCCATGTGATTTTTGGCTTGGGGACTCCCAGGGCCAGACATCGGAGCTGAACGGGTGCTCCTATCCTTGTGAGAATGCTCCTGGGTAGGCGATTTGTAATTCGGGGTGGGTAGGCTACAACCATTACTGGAACGGTAATCAGTGTGTGGCCAACGCTATTTTGAGCCATACAAATATAGTTTCCTCTGTCATAAGCTGTTGCTTCTTTAATGACTAAGGTGCCATTTTCATGCAATATGTATTTTCCACTACTTTGAGGTCTATCTATTATAGAACCACTTGGTGTAGTCCATTTGATATTTGGCTTAGGGCTTCCATCAGACACACAGTGCAGTGATAGAGATTCTCCACTGATACAGTAAACTGTTCCTAGTGCATAAGAAAGAATCACTGGCTTCTGGCCAATTTCTAACACAATTAATTTTTCAATGTAGCCGACTTTATTTCTTGCTGCACACCGGTATTTTCCTGCATCATCCCGAGTTGTTTTAGAAATGATGAAAGAACCATTGCTTGCTATCAGATACTGAGAAATTTGCGGCTCATTGGGAAATCTTGTGCCATTTGGTAAAATCCAGATTATTTCAGGTGGTGGGTTTCCATCAACAGAACAATTCAGTGCTGTAGACTTTCCAAGCTGGGCAACTATTTTTTCATTAAATGGATTTCTGAATGTTGGTCGTCTTAGCATTTCCAGTACTTCTAACTGTACCACCAGCACGCTCTCTCCTCCTTCATTCCGAGCCACACAGATAAAATCTGCCGAGTCTGAAAACCTCACATTCCTAATTTCCAGGGTTCCATTTTTATGGACTGTGATTCTGCTTCCATAGTATGGGGCCGTGAGGAAAATATTATCTGGCATGATCCACATGACTTGAGGAGATGGTGTTCCTTCAGCTCTGCAGTCAAAGTGTTTTTTGGAATGCCTCACGGCTGTGGCTTTAATGACCGTTCTGTTTGTATACAGACCGTTGATTAATGGAGGTTTGGAGACAACATCCAGTTTGTACATTTTTGTGTCATCCCCACTGGGATTTCGGGCCACACACACATACTCTCCGGAATCAAGCAGTTTCACTTTGTTGATGGACAAAGACCCGTTCGCATGAAATGTGTACCTATCCTTGGAGAATGAAATCACGTCATGGGAAGGCAGCAACCAAAATATTTTTGGTTTGGGTTCACCGATGACCTCACAGTCAAGGACCACTGTGTCTCCAGCGTTGATTCTCCTGTGGGTCTTGTAACCCTGCCTGATCCGTGGGGCAGCTGTTATTACTGTTAGGTGCACCTTCATTTCATCCTTCCCCAGAGTGTTCTGGGCATAGCAAGTATAATCTCCTTCCTCTGCTATCCCAACTTTGTTGAAGTATAAGGTTCCATTGTCAAAAAGGGTATACCTCCTGGTCCTGCTGCCACTGTCATCGGCTTGCATTGCATTGTTTATCATCGTTCCATCAGGCAAACTCCAAGATATCTCAGGCAGTGGGGAGCCAGAAGCCTCGCAATCAACTTGGAAATCTTTCCCATGGAATACTTGCTTTTTAAAATGGTGCTTGTGATCAATTTTGGCTGGTTTCAGTCGGAGGCTCACATGCATTAGTATCAGATCATCCCCCATTTTGTTTCTGGCCACACACAAGTAGTCACCACCATCTTTTTCTGTTATTGATCCAATAAACAAGGATCCATTTGGGTAGACATGGATACGGCTGCCCATTCTAAGGAGAGAAGAGATGGATTTGAGTGTGCAGCTATTAGCAAGGGGTGAGGGGAGTTGTCTTTATTTACATAGGATTAGCTTTATGGACATTTTCTTAAACTGTTGGAATAAAATTAAAATCAGTACTAGCTTACTGTCTCCTAAACCATTTCCTGAGAGAGAAAATTATCTAACTGAACAGTTAAAATTTAGTGAAATG